GTGACACTGCAGCTGCGAGGTACAGAGCAGTACTTGGCCGGATTGCATGGTGGGGTCAGTCGAGACCTGACCTGAGTAGGTGGATGTCCATTCTTTCGCAAGGACAGTCCAAGCCAACAGCATGCTTTGAGCAAGCATTGCGACAAGTGATTAGGTTCCTAAAGGGACAATACCATGCATGGCAGTACTTTGGCCCTGATGGGAATGTACCGGACAGTGGGCCGGCGCAGCTGGAAGTGTATGCGGATGCCAGTTGGGCACCCCAAGCGTCGTTAGGACGAAGATCTGTGTCGGGCATAGCCATCTTTTATAGAGGATGCCTGATCAAGGGAATCTCTCGAGTTCAAGGGTGTGTATCGCTGAGTTCTTGTGAAGCCGAGTTGAGAGCCATCTTGACTGCGGTACAGGAGAGTGAGGGACTTGCGACTTTGATCGGTCAGTTGGCCGAGTCAGATGTCACGATCCGATTGCACACTGACAGTTCCTCAGCGAGAGCGGTTTTGCTAAACCGTGGGTTGAGTAGGCGAGTTCGCCACTTAGACATCGCTGTCTGCTATCTTCAGGAGCGGATACAGGAAGCTCAGACCTTGAAGGTCATTTGGTGCCCGACAGCGGGAATGATCGCTGACGTTCTTACAAAGTGCTTGAGTCAAGTGACATTCTGTCAGCACCAGCAAGCTATGGGTATATACCCTGGTGAAGATGTGCAGCAGGTGTGGAGGATCTGTGGAATCCGACCAAGGGTTGGAGTTCAGGCATGCCAGTGTGCCGAGGCAACTGGATGCAGTGTGGAGCAAGTTGGATCGTTGAAAAGTGTGAAAAAGTGTGGCGAAGTTTTTGAAAATTTCCACCTTAGAAGTCCCGAAACCCTTCGTGAAGACTCTTCCCCTGAGGTTCAAGAAATGGATTTATGGTCCAACCGCAAAAGCTTTGGTTCAAGCACCACGGAAGCTAGCCCTAGCCTGGAGCCTGTACCTTTGGTGAAGGACAGGAAAATGGCAGCTGAAGACAGCAGGAAGGGTGAGCAGGGTGCTGAGATGAAAAGCCCCTTTTGGTGTAAGGTTTGCAAATGGTTGTTCAGATCCGAGCATGCTGCCGGGTTGAGCTGGGATGAAAGTGGCAAGCCCAAGTGCGAAAAGTGCAAACAGACTGTGACAGTCTCTGGCACGGATGCAAGCCATGCATTCCATCTCCGAGAGGCAGAGAAGGAGCGCCGAGCTGCTGGAAAAAGGGGTGATAAAGGTGAAAGCCGAGGCTCAGGCCAAGCTGCACCGAAACCCAAGGCCATGCCGAAGGTGATTGAACGGATGGTCGACGTGTTTCCGGAGCTGGCGGATCCAGAGCCGCCGAAGTGGTTCGGTGATGTGTCATGGAGTATCTGCCGGCGCGGAACTCCAGTGGATGAGCTAGAGCTCAAGGACGTGGTAGGCACGCTATCCGACAAGGATATGTTGCGCTATCAAAGCTCATACGAGAAGCTGGTGAAGCCCATCCAGGAGGTGTGTGAGCTACAGGAGAAACCCACGAAGATCTTCGGAATCTTGGATGTCCGTGGACAGATTGGTGGCAAGGCCATCATCTGGGAGATGGCAGTGAATGAAGGAGGACTGTACATGGAAGTACCGCCGGGAACGTGTGGCCTGGCGATGTTGAGCTTCGTGAGGTACTTGAAGAGAAAAGGGATAGTCCCTGTTTTGCTTCTGGGTGAGCACCAGGACCTCGGAGTCTTGCGGATGGTGGATCTGTTGTGCATGCTACCCATTTTGGGAGCAGAGAGGATCATGGAGGATGAAGCTGAGAGCTCGTATTATCCCCCATGGGTGTTGCGCTGGAAGAGAAGTGCAAAGGAAGGATCCTTGGTGTTTAAGGAACTGGTGGAGCGAGTGCGAGTGATTTCGATGTTGTCGTGTGATACACTTCGGATTCACGAGCCGGAGCTGAGGGAGAGACCAGTCCCCAAGTGGTCGTTTGTGGCCTACAGCCACTACAGATCCGTGATGGAGTCTGTTGCAGGATTCTTGGAGGACCTGGAGAAAAAGAAAGAGGAGATCACCGACACGCAGAGGGCGGCAAGCTGGAAGAAGGTGGTTGCGAGTGAGACTCGAAGCGGTGTTGTGTGGATCTGCAAGTGTAAGTGGCACTTGCCGACCGACTATGTGGTGAGGTTCAACTTGACGTTGCCTGCCGACATGTGGCAGCAAGCCTTTGGGATCATGGGTGAGAATGTTGGGAAACTCGAGAAGGAGGAAAAGGACCTGAAGCGGATCCTCAAGGCTGCAGCGGAACAGCAAGACCGAGAGTTCGAGGAAGCTGAGCGAAAGCGCAAGCGCATCGCCGACCTGTCAGCTGCCGAGGAAGAAGCTGCTAAGAGAGCAAAGCTGGAAGGCGAAGCGGTTCGCTCGCCTGTGTCAGTTGTACCATCTGAGTTGGATGCAGCAGCTATCGCGCAGATTGCTGAGCGTGTGAAGGCAAGCTTTAGTGTTGCCGATTTGGAGCTGATGTTGGAAGAGAAGAAGAGAAAGGTTGGAGACCAGCCAACTGAGAGGCCTGCGGAGACGCCAGCTGAGCCTAGCCGATCTTCGCAGGATGTGATGATGGAAACGAGGACGGCTGAGTTGGCGGAGATGAAGGAAGCCGCCAAGGAGCGCCGCGCCAAGTTGATGGAGTCAACTGGAGCTGGCGAGAAGAAGGGCGAAGAGGATGAAGAATGAACTGAGATGCTAAGTGATCTCAGTGGTTGGGTGGGTGAGTGAAACCCGCAGCCATTTTTTTGGAAGCCATGGCCGCGTTGCCGCCATGGAGCGCCCGCGATTTTTCTGGTTAGTGTGAGCCCTTGTTTCAGTGCATGAGAAGTTTGCAAAGAGGAGGCAAAATGATGATGAAACTCAACGAGGGACTCTATAGCCCCTTCTGCAAGGCGTCTGATTGCCACCTCTGAAGACGTTTTTGGCTGATGGTACGCTGGAAGAAGCGAAACTATGAAGCCAATCTTTTCCTGAAGGATCAGCTAGCCGATGCTAGTTGGTGAGTTTGGTGACCTGGAAGATGCGAGACTGAGGAGGAGTACCACGACAAGGTCGAGTGCTGAGTGGGAAACATCTGAAGCTTGCATTAATTCGTTTTCACGTGTTTGTCACCACGAACTCTTGGATTCGTTCCAAGACAACCCTGCCCCAGTGCAGGTGGATGCAAGTTTAATTCGTTTTTCACGTGTTTGGACAACGAACTCTTGGGTTACCAGTGATGTGGACCCAGGACAACCTGCCTGATGGTGGGATCTTGCATGAGTTTTAAGTTTGATGTCAGAGATCGACTGGTGTGTTGTTTGTTTCGTTTGGTGGCGAGTACGCACCAAGGGAATGTGGCCAGGGCATCCCCTTAGTGTTGAAGTGCCGAGCTGGGCTTGGACTTCAGATCTTTGACATGAACCCTCAGCAAAATGCGGGGGGTGGAAGATTGTGGCTGATCAGTGATGTTTTTGTCATGTTTTGGATCAGCTTGTATAGGTTTGTTTTGCTTCGGAGTGATTGGGAATCCGTGTGATCCCATCCTCGATGGTTTATGCCTCGTTGATTTCCAAGGAAATCATACGAGTGTGTTTTTGCCCAATACGCTATTTAAAGTGAGTGTGCAGTGTGTAGGAACTTCGTTCTGAAGCTGAGTTTAAGCTCACAAGAGAGAATTCGTTTAGTTTGTGCACTTCGTGACTTTTGGCTCAAGTGGCTCTGACTGTGAAAAAGAGAGAGTTGTCCGCACTTGTGTGAGAGGTCAGGGTTCGTGCTTTCAAGGGAAAAGGTACCAGAGGGACCTTCGGTTTTTCACGACAAACGCCTTTTCAGGAAAGGGTGCCCCACAAGATCAGTCTTCGTCAACACTTGGCAATTTCTGTCCTTCACTTTTCAGGGTCGTGTCTTTGTGTCCAGAACACTTAACTTCGGTGCCAAAGCTTCCTCTTGGTGGTGGGGTCGTATTTGCTTCGTCTTTCACACAAGTTGGTGTGGGTTGCACATCTAATGTTGCTGTTCCTGGCTCTGCGACTCCCACTGTCCTGGTCCAAGGCATCCTGGAGTCCATGCGCGCAATGGATAGGCTGGGACATCGATCTCCGCAGTTGGACCGTCTCTGCCTCCGGAGAAACTTTTGAAGATCTTGGAGCCTCTTCGAGCGCTAGCTTGGCCAGAGAGCTACGCGCATAAAGGTCAAGAAGCTTGAATCGCTCATTGGCAGGCTGCTTTGGCTGACCAGTCTTTGGCACCTGTTGCGCCCCTTGCTGGCCCCCTTGTGTAAGATCATGGCTCGCATTCCTTCGTCTTGTGTGGCGGTTCAGCCCTCACTTTGGCAGTCCATCTACGCTCTGGGGACGACGACAGCAGATTTCATGAGGTGGTGTCAAGACTTTGAGTTTGGAAGGCTTTGGTGATGATAGTGCAACACATAACTTGTCTTGCCTTCTCTTCAAGCTAGCGCTAACATCAAATCCCCAAGCTGCAACCTCCAGGCATGCTGCGCTTTGTCAACAAGATCCGATGGCCCAGTCTTCGTCCAGATGTTTACCTGAGGGCTGTAGCTGTGGCGCCTCTCTGTGAATTGCGTATGACCTTCCTCATTGCATGGCGGCACTTGGCAAGCATTGATCGTTTCGATTTCAGCCGGGGCTCCCCAGTTGCTGCAACCAGCAGCATGGCCCAAGCAAGAATGTGAGATACAGCAGCCGTGAATGCGGCACTCCCCTCACGCTTCACCAAGCTCGCATTGGCCACCACCCTGGCTCAAATAAACTCTTTCTTTAGATGTCATATGATGTCATGTGCAGCATGTGCGCCAGGACGAACGGTTTGCATACGCGACCAATGGCGAAATCATGACCTGCCGGTGAGCTTTGGGGCGCCAAAGAAACAACAATCCAGTGCTCCGAGGCAAGCGAAATTGGCGCACAGGCCCAAAGATCATGAAATGCGTGGAACACGGCTTTCACGCCTCCACTAAAGGATACTCCACAATCAACCTTCACGAAGCTCTTCCTCCAGGAGACTGAGAACTTGAGTGGGCTGGTCCGATGCGGACCCAGCGCAGTCTGTCAGAGACCATTGGTAGTCTTGTTGCAAAGACCCGATCGCCAGCCACAAGGAGCGACCCGCTTCCATGCCCTCAGGTAGGGTGGGACTCCAAGAGTTCGGTCGATCGGCACCATCGTTGCAAGACCGACGAACTTTTCCATCAGCTTGCAAAGCGGAAGCAGGTGACACGCATCCAACATAGCCAAGGCGACGCAAAGGCGATCAAAGAACTTGCGAACGACCGACTCCACAGGTGCCTGCATGGGGATGTCAATCAAGAATTCCTCCTCGGCACTGGGCGCCAAGAGCGACGCCAACATTTGAGAGTCCGTGCGAGGCCGGCGCCTCTCCGCAAAAGCCACCTCATCAGCTTCGGAAGTGCGGACACGCCAGCTGAACCAACGCATGTGATCAGACGACACAGAATCTTTCACTGCAGAGAGAAAAGCGCGCGAAGGCATGATGTCGGGTACTTGCCTTGGAAGTCCTGACCAACTTATTAATGTCCGCGGCATCCAGCGACTTCTTGGGAACAGCAGTGCCCGGACTAGGCGTTGCAATGGCATTCGAACCAGCCGGGCTGACCTGACTGATGCATTCCTTCACGACACGACGCAAGGATGCAGCTTCTGGGGTGAAGAGCGGTGCGGCCGGATCACTGCCCGCAGGGCGTCCCAAGACTGACACAAGAAAGGGCTCCAAATGCTCAAGACTGGGAATGGCATGAGCGAGCAGCGATATGGTCTTAAAACCGCCACGTGCCAGCCTATTCTTGACTGTGTCAGGAACTGCCCACGCCTGAAGCTCAGTAAAGTAGTCTTCCTGTAATGTCATGCTGTTGTCTTGACCGATTTGGAAAGTTGTAACCAGTGATCATGTTATACTGCTGATGTAGTCTCCAACTGAAGGGAGCTGAGTCAGGGGAAGTTGGGAGCAAGCTTGTTGTTGTGTGACAGTCTTCCTCTACCTTGCCCCATCAATTGGGTAGGCTGCCTCTTCTTCGCCATGGCATTGCAAGAGCCCCTTGGCCTGGAGAACCTGCAGCCTCCTCCATTGGTCGCCCCTCCGCTCGTAGCTGGGCGTGAAAACACCTGGATTACGGCGAGCCATGGCAGTTCAACCCTCCCCTTTGTTGTATCCCGGCCGAGTGCGGATGCGGGGGAAGCTAACTCGATAGTGCTTCTCCTCCCTGGTTGTGGACATTTCTATGTGGAGAATATGCACCCACTGCCTTGGCAAGGGGCCATCGAGTATCTGTGGAGCAACCTGGCTTTCAAACGCGACAAGCAGGCTCACCGCCTGCCTGGATGCTGCCTGACGGTGCTGCCTGGACCAAGGCAGTGTATACAATGGAAATTCTACCGCTCCTACTGGCCGTCCAACGTGATGCGAGCCCTCGCATCTCCTTGCCCACATATCTCATGGGCCTTGGCTCTGGAGGAACCATCACCTACCAGATTGCAATTTCCGAGGCCCATGCGACCTTCCGGGCTTGTGTTTGCATGGGCCCCATTAGCGGGGCAATCATCGCGTGCCTCCTGTCACAGAAGCCCTTTCCGAAGACTCACACTTTACCGCCTTCAAGGGCTACGGACGCACGCAGTACCCCTGGGCCCCCGGCCTCACAATCCGCCAGGTGGTTATCGGCAAGGACCCGGAGCATGTGGTGTGGCCTGCATTGCTGAGCGATCCTGATTGGCTGCTGGCGGACCATATCGAGCTCCCGGAGTAGTCGTCGGGGCAGGGTAGAGAGTGCCTTCCTTTTTCCATTTTAATCGATTTATGCGCGCCGGCCCTTGTGTTGCCGCTACAAACAGACCAGCAACCGAGGTACGCCTGCATTCTGGTGCTACTACTGTGCACGGACAAAGTAAAGGATGCCATCGTCTCCAGGTCATTGCTTTGTACATGCAGCACATTGCAGCCACAAGTAACAGCCACCTGCGATGACACGCTGCATCCCTTTTCAGGTTGCGCGTTGGATGTGCCCTGGCTCAAGCTAAGGGTGGCTGGCTGACTGAACGAGGAACCCATTGTGTAGAGGGTTGTAACGCTCCTGACTGGTTTTTTCTCGCCTTTCTGCTTCTTCTCTCCTGTGTGCTGTGCTTTTTGTTTGGTCCTCCCTTTCCTTGAGTCCCTCCCTAGTTTTTGTAAGGGCTTTCCAGGGATCTTGGTGTCTGGAGGTTGCCTCGTGGTTCTCCGCTGCCTGTGGGGTAGTCACATGAGTTTGGCCTGCCATGTTCGGTGAGTGATGCCATGGAGTCGTATGCCTGTCAACCGTACGCAATCCGGGTTGGAGCGCAAGTGCTCCAAGTCCACGTTGCCAGGAGAGGGCAACTCACTGCACTTGCCACTTTAGGGACCAGTGATGTCGCAATGACCAGGCAGATGCAAGCCGGCGTCATCCTGCCTCACGAACTAGATGCTGCCGGTTGGTGCCGATACTTTCCGCCGGAAATACAACCCTTGTTGTGTCTGGACCATTCTGCCTTTTTGAGAAACAGCAACGCCGTCTGCTTCGCCCGGCAACCCACGGTTCGCTGTTTTCTCCTGCATGCATGGAGGCCAGGCATCGGCATCACGCCGCATAGCAGTGCCCTCATGGGGCGAGCGGTGTCCACGCACAGTGCTTTGCCTGGTGACGCGATAGACCTTCCCCCTTGGGCGAGTGTTGTCACCGAACAAGGAGCGGGTAGGGAGACAGCCCTGTCTCCCGGGCCCTGGCAAACACCATCACCTAATCCACCTAGGGTCTGCTGGCCGGATAATAGTCCTCGCCCTCCCATACCGCCGATTCCTCCACGTGTTGGAGAATACCCAGTGGGTGAGGTCAGTAGGATCGAGCCGCGAATTCCACATGGGAGGCCACCTCCCGCGCCAGTTGCAGCCGACCTGCCACCTTGGCAGGTCCCTAGCCACCCAGGTCCACAGGTCCTTGCGGCGACCGCAATGCAGGCTATATGCCAGCTTCGCACTCTCAGTGCTGACCATGCGCCGGGGCCTCAGGAGCCTGAGGATCTCGCGCAGGCACTAGAAAGTAATCAGAATTTCCCTGAGCCCACCCCTAGCGGCGTACTGCCATTGAAACTGGCCTCGGGAGCCATTTCCGGCGAACCGCCTGAGCCGCAAGGTCTCCACCCAGAGATTGACTACAATGCATTACTCGGCTGCCTACTTCCACAGCTCCGGGCTGCTGAGTCCGCAGGAGCCCATGTCCTGCTCTTAGTCACGGATAGTCGCTGCTTCTTGTCTATTCCGCACTTCCCCTACTTTGTCCGGCATTTGGTAGCACGCATGCAGTGGGAAGGCCCGTTTAAGGAGAGGTGGTTTCCCATCTTGGTTAACACCAAGGAAGCGGGGCTAGCTTCTGTGCACTTTACGTGGGCGGGGCCCGAAATTCTGGCAGTCCTCAGAGTCCTTGCGCCAGGGGTGGTCTTGATGTTGCTTGACCATGACACCTTGTTCACTGCCAGGTGGGAAGCAGAAGAGCTGCGAAGGTTTGCAGTCCTCGATCTACTGCCCAATACCCTCTCGACGGAGTCACTGGGCAGCATGGAAGTCGAGACGGACGAGACACAGCCCTGTGGCTCGCTTCCAGCCTCGCCGTGGAGTTGCTCGCCGGACGGGTCCATACCGTGTGGGGCCCGGTATGTGTTTTTGAAACACGGCTGTTTGGGGCGGTAGGCCCGGAAGGCACCTGTTTTTCGCTCTTGGTATTTTTTGGGGATTGAATTTTCGTTGCTTGTCGCATGCTTACTTTGTGCTGCTTGGTATTCTTGCCGATTTTCCGTTTTTCCTGCAGCACTTGTTGGCACGGGACCTGCCATCAGACAAGCAGATTTTGATCTGCACGCCATTTCCTTCGGTTCGAGACAAAAAAGGAGCGACTGAGAATTTTTTGGAATACACTTGCTTCCTTTGAAATATATTCCTTCTCCGTCCTATTCGGAGCGAATCATCTTTTCGGATGAATATCAGGTGAACGTAACGGACCGCATGTCTCAAACGATCGCCAAACTCAATTGGCATGGTTTGTGCGTCCGAGGACCAGCTCGAAGCAAATGGGGGATTGGTCCTCTTCTACCCAAATGCTCCGGACGGCAAACATCCCCGGCCCCCTCGCTTCTGCATCCCTGGCAACGTCGCTAGTGCGGTGACCTCAATTGGTACTGCGTTGAGCCGAGCCCTGCAGCTAGTCATCATGCCCAGTGAAGTGCCCACTCCATTGCCTGGTATGCATGAGCAGGTGCCGTTGGACCAGATCCATTATCGGCAATGTCTACGCAACACCCCTCTTGCCGGGACCACTGCTCACAAGCACTCTGACTTTGTGTTTGCGTGGGCACTTTTAGGAAGATACATACATGAGGTTGCGTGGAAAACGGCCGACCTTACTGCTGGCCGGCCAGAGCCAGACATCCAGTTTGGCGCCTCCCCAGTCAGGCAGGTCAGAGGGGTCAAAACATGGGGACAAGGCCCATATGAACAGGGATTTCTTCCCTTGCTCATGGGTTACGGCGGCTCGCACTCCCGTTTGGCAATCCTACCTGGTCCTGACTTATTCATGGCGAACCGATACGCCGAGGTTATACCCCCTCCTTTTGTGCATGGATATGGTGCCAAAGGCAAAAACATCTTGCCGCAGTGGGGGAGTGTGGTACGGCTGCCTACTCTACCCGAGTCGGTCTGGGGCAACGGGGACACCGTCCCTCTGTGGGCCTCTGTTGGGAAAAAGGGCAGTGGACCAGTGCGGCTCCAGCTCTTCCCTGGGGTCCTCATGTTTTGGAAGAAAGATGCCCTATCTTCCTGCAGGGCCACCCCGAAATGGCGCAGTCGACCCAATACCCCAACTGGGCCGCTTGCTCTTCTTGCTGCCGCTGCGCATGCTTGGCTGGCCCAGGCGGATCTGCCGTGGCCTCTCTTCGCCGCAGACATAAAGGTCACGCCGTTGGGCCTCAGTCAATACTGGGATGATGGACTAGCCATGCGTGTGCAACAAGCCCTGGCAGCCTTTGCCTTTCCTGCCTACCAGTACCCGCCTCCAAAGCCTCGCCTAACCCCCTCAGGGGAATGTCGGTCGCTCTTCATTAGCGGGATGAATGGGAAGGCCGAGAATACGCCCCCCACTGTGTCGGGTAGCATCATTCACACAGCCAATTCCTATGCACTCACTGGCTTAGAAATGGAAACAGTCCGGGACAACCAGGGCAAAAAGGTCCGATATGAGGACACACAACGCCCGTTGTTGCTTTCGACCAGCGGTAATGCCGCACATGCATTGTTGCTCCTGCCCCAAGCCGCCCAGCTATGGGCACGTGCTCTGTACCCTCAGGTCGAAGGATGCGGTCTGCCAGCGGCGGTTCGTGCTAGAATCAGCTCGGTAGAAGCCTCCCTGACAATGTGCCCTGCCCTGGCTCACTTGCACATGCCACATACTGCTGCGCTGACCGCTCTGCATGTG